CCAAAATTTGACGAAAAATTTTTTTAAAAATATTGTTTTTCTTTGAGTTGGTTTGCTTTCAAGTTTCTGTGTTAAGAGACTTAAGGTATCTTTTTGTGCTGAATCCTTTTCCTTAATGCCGCAGAAGATGTTTTCTATGACAGTTGTTGATAAAATCTTTATTTCTTGTTTTTGTGATTTTTGAAATTGTTGATTAGCGGAAAGAGTTGTATAAAATTACTTAAATTAGTTTAAAATAGTTCTGATACACTATTATTGATAGATATTTCACTGATATTGATAATATAGATCTGATTTGGTACATATTAATTTAAATATAGATGGGATTTTAAATAAAAGATATTTTTAATATTAATTGTATAGTAGCAAGTTCTGTAGTATTGCCTCTGGCATACGGAAAAATGCTAATCATACCATGCCTGGAATTAATAAAATGGGAAGACAAAAGATTGGTCGAAAAAGAGATCTTGTATTGAGGATATCATCAGATCTGAAATTCAGCAGTGGAGAAGCCAGAAAGACTTATAAAACTGATAAGGAAACAAAGTGGCTTGTAGAAAGTGGTCTTAAACTGCTAAAATTATTAAAGAATATGCTTGTACAATTGACAAGCGAAGTTAAATAGTCAACAAAAGTTTTATATAATTTGACAACAGTGGGTTTCGTATATGCAGGTTAGTGATGAATTTTTTTGATATTTATTTCAGATTTTTGATACCTTACTTTATTGCTTGTTGTCTTAAAGATCGTAGGCAAATATTACTAGAATTAGATTATCCCAAAGGATACATACAGTATGTTGTTTAAGCCATGATGACATCTACAGAGTTGCTGACTCTATTACCACATATATACTAAAACTCTGCTACTAATTGTAAAAACTTGGAGAGCTAAGATGATGATATAAATACTTTAGTTGTATAGCTTTACTTATTTGTGTTGGTAATACTAATTTCTAAAAAAGAAACAGCAAATTGGTGGTTCAAGTTTGGGTTAGCTCGACATAGAGTCTATATTTCTATATTTTCTAATACAATACTTTAACAAATTTCTATTGTTTTTTTTTTTTGTATATATATTACTAGCACAAATAGGTAAATCTAACTCAGATTGGCTGTATAATATATACTGCTACTAATTTACATTTGTGAATTCTGATAGGCAGCTATTCGTGATTGTGTTAGTAATGTTCAAAGATGCTTAATTAAAGTTGAAGAAGAAAAAGTGTTGAAATTTATATGATATGCTAGATCAAAAATGTTTTTAGAGATAGTAGATAATAGAATAGTCATTCTTATTTGCTTTAAAACTCCATTGAAAGATAATAAGCGCTGCCAAGCCAAATAATATCAAAATTTATAATATTGATTGGGCAATAAATTTCATTTCTTTGATATAGAGTTTAGAATTGGGTTATAATAAACCATATCACCCATGTTAAAATGGTTCAGCCAAGTCAAAAATTTACAACTCAGGTCAAAACGGTTGAATATATAATCTCTAACAATCTGTTATTATTATACAAAAAACAAGTATTGTAAATAAACACACTTTTTCTCTTACTAATTTATCTAAATATTCAATTTCATTAATCTGGATTTAAAAAAATATTACAAATTTTGGAGGCTATACAGACTATCTATTGTGAAAATTTTGTTAAAAATTTTCTTTTGCATAAACCTTCATTATTTTCTTTGCTAATATGTAATACTCTTTGCTTAATATGAATAGCATAATCATCAATGGAATATATCAGAATCCTGGCTGAATGTGCCAGAATTGATTAATTTTATCCATTACTAAAAACTTTACTAATAAAGTCATAGCCCATTCATTAAATAAGTATATAGCTTATGACTTTAATTAACAGATTCTGATCAACTTTTGACAATAATAAAAATTACCTGCTATCATGAGTATATTGACTATTTCAAAGTATCTGATTAGTCAAAACTAATAAGTATATGACTTATAACTTCAAATTGTCAATAAAGATTTGTCAA